GCAAACTCGTGTATAACACTATGTCCCACACACCACCTCTTTATCCTATTTTCATGATATCAACCATACACTTATATCTTTCCTTTGCTTGCTCCTCACTTAAGACCTCAATTCTCCACAGGCTTCTAATCACCTGTCACTTTTACTGTAATGGGTAATGTTATTCACAGAACCATGGAACATCGGAATTTCCATACCAATCAGACCTATAGTCCAGTGTCTTGTCTCCAGTAGTGATTGGTACCATGTTTCAGAAGAAGGGCAAAATCCCCCATAATGAACAGTGGCAGAATACCCCACTCTAAGGAAAAGTTTCTTACCAACCCCATTATCTAGTGGCTGGTTTATGCCCTGAAGCATGAGGGTTCAGAGCTCTATATAAATGTAAATGAAGTAAATAATTCCTAATCTTGTAAAGAGTTATTCACACAACTCACAGCAGCTCCTTACACTTCCTACTGAAAACTTACTTGCTCTTCTCTTTCCACATCATTCTCTGTGTGTCTCTCTCAGCATGCATATTTCTCTGTATAGAATATGTATGTTAAGACACACCGTCCTCAGTCCTGTTCTTAGATATACAGGTGCATGCTGCCTTTTTGCTAATTTGTTGCAGCTGATTTAATAGTACAGTCAGTGATCTTGTGTAGCAGGAAGATTGAAGCACTAGTTACAGCACTAGTTAAATCAGAGAAACTGGAGATCTCATGCTGTATTACCCAATTTTGCCAGTAGTGGCCACTGTGTTCTGTTTCTTTTGTTACCTCTTCCTCCCAACCCAACTCCACCTACACGTGTGTGTTCACACACTTGTGTCCTGACACGTAGACAGTCTTTTCCCCAGAGATCTGACGACCTTCTTTGTTAATTGTCTCTATAGTGTCTAGCACAGTGGGGCATTGATCTTTGGGGTTCCTTTCCTGGGCACTTCCATAGTATAAATAATGTGCATACAAATATGCAGATGTTGGGATATTAGAAATGTTAATTGAAATACTGCATCCCAGCTGCAATAATATATTTGTTTTACAACAGCCACTTTTACTACAATAATATTTATTTAAGCAGACACCAGCTTTACACATACTCAAGCCTCCCTTGTTAGATAACATTTGCACAATAATGTCAGACCTGGGATTCCTGTATATATACTTTGTAGTAAAAAGGGACTATACTTTACCCATCTCCAGTAACTATAGGAGCATTTTCAAATCTTTTGCTTTCCTTCCCCTTTAATTTTAATATGAACTGTTAACTATTTAAATTAGAAAAATAGTCTGCAAATTAAAGAAAGTGGTTATATGTGACCAGGCAATTGATGAGAGACACAATATGAAGTAGAGTTTCCTCTGTGAGCTGCCTTCCTTCCTTTCTTGTCTTTTGAATCCACTGGGTTCTGAGCTCTTTGCTTCTAACCCATCCTGGGCCTGGGCTCACCTAAAAACACTTGTTCAGAACTGGACCTTATCAGAACATTAGCATATGGTTGAATATGGAAACATTAGAATTTCCTGCTGGCCCATAATCAAATTGCAACTTTTAAAAAAAGAGATCATTTATGATTGGGGATCAAGTGATTGCATTCAAGCTGATGGCAAAGCACTCATGCACCCGGGCCACAGGGCTAAATGCCTGCGAACTATACAAAGGCTTGTTCACAAAACAGGTGGTTGGTTGTTTTCAGACATAAAGGAGAAACAAGGAGACTCCTTGTGATCTGAGACCCATCAGCCTCTAAGTTCATGTTTATACCCCCTCTATTTCCCATAAAGAATTAAGAAACAAGTACAGGCTCATCTAATATACAGACCTGTCACTCTGGTAGTTGTTAGTTTCTTCCCTTGCCCCATCTTGCTATAGCCCCTTCCCAGCACAATGGAGCCTTGCCTTGTTCCTCCTTGTAGTACTAACACACACAGTCCTTTGTGACCTGTTTAATGTCTCATTCAGGGAGTGCAGAGATATGGCCTCTTTAGTCATCCTCATGGGGAACAAGAAGAGAAGAAATGCAATTTTAATAGGCTTGAATCTTCTCTCATGGGCAGTCAGCAACAGCACGGACAGGAGATCTGACTTCTGCTAAAGGTCACTTTGCACTGAGGGCTTTTTATAGCCAGTACATCCAAATATAGTTCAGAAACACACAAACATATGTCCACAAACATGTTACTTAATGAATTATGAATTTGGTGCAGCTCCTCAAACATGAACACCCCACTTGTCTTTCTTTGTATATGAATTACTCTTATTTAAAGGTGATCTGAAAAGGGGCTTGTGCCCTGTTCAGCTTCTTCCTGATGTATTATTATTTGTATTACAGTAGTATTTATGGATGAGAACTCCATTGTGCTAGCTGGTGTACAAACAGAACAAAAATACCTGGCTTTTATATAGAGACAAGGTGGGTGAGGTAATGTCTTTTATTGGACCAGCTTCTGTTGGCAAAGAGACAAGCTTGTCTTTTGCCAATAGAAGTTGATCCAATAAAAGATATTACCTCGCCCACATTGTCTCTCTAATATCCTGGGACCAACATAGCTACAACAACACTGCAAATTGCTTTTATATAGTGCTTTTCCTATATAGCTCTGTAAGTGCTTTACAAAGGTAGTGTAATCAGCATCAGTTACACCTGGGGGAACTGAGGTACAGAACAATGTCCCCAAGGTCACCTAGCAGGCCAGTAGCAGTGCCAGGAATAGCACTCAGGTTGCTGGGGTTCACAGTCCAGTGCTGTATCCACTAGACCACACTGCCCCAAAGAGCTTACAAGCTATGTATCAGACAAGAGACAACAAATGGATAGACAGATGGGGAAATACGAGACAGTATAGGTCAGCATAATAGGCGGAGTCTCAGCATATCAGCGGTCTAACTGCTGTCACGTTTTCTGTAGGCTCCATGACAAAAGGGAGTCTGACACAGATTTGGAGGAGGATGAGAGCTTTGTGGATGTTTACAGGGAGCTTCTCCCAAGTGTGAGGCATAGCATAGGAGAAAACACAAAGGAGCTTTTTACAAAATGAGACAGGTGGACAACAGAGGCTGGCATCATTGGCCAGCTGGGGGTGGGTATATAAAGAAGGCCTGAAATGTATTTACAAAACAAAGTGTGGCTTTACATCAAAAATGCACATACTATCTAGCTTGGAAAACTGATGACTGGATATCTAGTGAAATTGACATCACAAGAATCAAAGGTTTGTTATTGCACTAGTTTAACGTGAGTTGATTGCCAATCAACTTGTTAGCTAACATGTTTGTCCATGCTACTCTGGACACTACAAACATTTATGTGCTAGCATAATATATGAAAAAAGAGAGAGAAATGTGATTTTTTATAATTTTTGATTAATCTCTGGCTCTCCTTTTCATCCTCAAACTGGAGGCTGGGCCCTACCATACCTGTCCCGCCAATGAACTGTGGTTGTGCAGAGAGACAGGAGGAGTCAGCATGGGGCTGGGTGAATAAAGAGCCAGAAATGAACACAAATTGCTAGCCCTAACATTGTGCACCATTTCTTGCTCTTTTTCCTTTTCTCCTACCTGACTTTCATTGCAATGTCATTTCCTTTCAGTTTTTCTCCCTTTTATTTGGTTACCTCGTCTCTCCTCATACCACTTTCCTACTCCCCACTTTATTTCTTGTTCCCCCTATTCCCATAGCTTCCTACGTTGCCATGAGGGACTTTAACTCTATTTTTTGAAGTGGTGAGACACTTCCTAATTGTTAAAAAGTTAATTCCAGAAGTGTGTTGCCTGTCTTTTTGCTCAAGATATGAGGATCACAAAGATGAGAGCAGTACAAAGATTCCCACTGCCATAGAGATGTTACCCTTATACTTTGAAATGCACATCTGACAGTAGGCATTACTTTGTCACCATGGAAATGTTTGAGTGCTAAATATTCAAAAGCAGAGGATAAAAAAAACAAGATAAAGCATATACAATTGTAAGGAATCTTTTAATCTTTACTGATGCATAAGATGTTGTGATGGGTTCAGTCACAGAGACCCCCTTGAGACTGTCACCTGACGTGCTGAAACTACCTCTGAGCCTGTTTTCCCTGCCAGCTTGGGACTCCAGAACCCTGTCTTGTTGAGCCAGACACGCTACTCCGCTGCAACACAGACCCAGGGTCTGAACCACGCCCCCAACGCTGCAGACTTTAATCAAAACTGCTCAGCAGGTTTCCTATCTCCAGCAGCCAACGGGATCCAAACCCCCCAAATAAATCCGTTTTACTCTGTATAAAGCTTATACAGGGTAAACCCATAAATCGTCCGCCCTCTATAACACTGATAGAGAAATATGCACAGCTGTTTGCTTCCCCAGGTATTAAGCACTTACACTTACTCATACACAAAAGTGATTTTATTAAGCATAAAACATAGGTTTTAAGTGGTTTCAAGCAATAACAGACAGAACAAAGTTACCAAGCAAAATAAAGCAAAACACGCAAGTCTAAACCTAATACATTAAGAAACTGGATATAGGTAAATCTCACCCTCAGAGATGTTCCATTAAGCTTCTTTCACAGACCAGACTCCTTCCTAATCTGGGCCCAATCCTTTCCCCAGTACAGTTCTTGTTAGTTCCAGCTCAGGTGGTAAAAAAGGGGATTTCTCATGACTGCAGCCCTTTTATGGCTTTGGCACAAGGCGGGAATCTTTTGTCTCTCTGGGTCTCTACCCTTCCTTCTAAATGGAAAAGCACCAGGTTTAAGATGGATTCCAGTACCAGGTGACATGGTCACATGTCCTGTGAGACCCCAAGCCTCCATTCTTTCCGGCCTGACTCTCACGAACACAGGAAGGCTTACAAGTAAACAGAGCCATTTACAGGTGATTGATTCTGAAGCACCTTAATGGCGTCCACTTAACATGTTTACATCAGTAATACAAGTTTATATCTTATTCTCCTAACTCGAAACATAGAAATGATACATTCATACAAATAGGATGAACATACTCAGTAGATAAGCTTTGTAATGATACCTTACAAGAGCATATTCCAGTTACATTATATTCACTTATTAGCATAATTTCATAAAGCATATGGAATGCAACATCACCAACGTACAGTGGATAGTTTTGGTAGCCAGAGGGGAATGTCTCCTAAGTATTTTAGTTACAGTTTGGCTCTTTTCTTACGATAAAAGGACAATCCATCTCTCCCATTATCTTACTGCTTGCCACCAAAAAAGCTTCTAATTGACAAACACAAATTAATTTTATTTTAGTAATGTCAGATTTAATCCTTCAGAGTTCAGTGTTTTTGGCAAAGATTGCTCCTTTACATGTATAAACAATGAGAAGGAAATAATTTAATTGGTCAGATTAGTTCCCAAACTGTACAGTAGTGCACTTTTAGCACATTAGTGATACAGGACATCCTGGGAAAATAAACTTTCTGAATTATTTGCACATCCCATAAAAGCCAAGAGTTTATTAAATAACTTCAAAGGCACAGGATTCACATTTGGTCACCTCCCCCCACATTTGTAAGCTAACACTCCACCTAGGGCAAGAGCCTGCTTTCCCTATTCATGCAAGGAGCCCTTGAAATCAGTAATACTATGTGTGTAAGGAAGACAGCAGCACTTGGCCCTCTGTATTTTTATTATACTCTGCATTTAAATTATAAAATGCTCAACTTCACATTTTTCACAGCATATAGGGTTACATAGGATAGTCATACAAGAGCTAGCAGGAGCACAAGTAGCACAGTGATGGAGAAAGCTTTTATTGAAACAGATTTAAAAGATTTTTTTCTTCTCTGACACATGAAATCAGAGGACAAGCCAAGTTAATAGCTGTTAACATTTCCCCCCACCCCCTAATGTTGTTCCAGTCTGAAAATCCCACTTAATGATGAACTTTAAATCAATTTAGCTATTTAACCCCTTCAGTAATTATTCTTAACTATATTAAATTAAAAATAGTTCAAACATGCTTGCAACCCACATTTCAGTTGTCGCAGCTCAGATAATCAGAATATATGTCTAATTCAGGCCTAAATTACCAGAAATGTTGAAATAAGGAAAGCAAAGAACTAAAGAGGGGAATTAGCAGGAAAATTAGTAGTTTTGTTATTGTGCAGGGGTTTTGGAGGACTCCAGTCAATTACACCTTCAGCAAAGCTTACCACACCCATTGATTTAGTTTTTACAGAAAAGGCCACCATTTTTCTCCCAGACTGAATACCTTCTTACAATGTTTGCAGACTGAAACATAAAATGTTACAACCTGCAGCATGAGGCTGCCTCAGTGTCTGCTCATTTTTGAGCCTGCAATTCCTCTCAATCCATTTCAAACAAAGTTACACCTGTATTCAAGATGCACCATCTTCCGACCCCACAAGAAAATATTTACAGTGAAGATGTGCCACTATTGAAAAAGATAAAGCATTGTTACTTATGCGCATAATGTGCCATAGCAAATTCCTGGCCACTTCTAAACATGCATGAGAGCTGGGAATTATTTAAGCTACAGGAAGTTTACTCTCGATGGTAACAAAGAGGAGAGTGCTCTGTAGGAAACCAGGTAGGCCAGCTCACAACAACCCAAAAAACTAGCTACTTGCCAAGATTTCCTTAAACAATGTGGTCTAAGTTTCAATCAGAGGATATACAGATATACAGCTGCTCTGATCGGCAACTAATACCCTCCTGAAGCCTTTGATCTCTGCATATGAAATCCAGTTCACCTTTTCTCCATGTTCTATGCTTAGTTTTGGTAAAACTCTGGCATGTTCATTTGTAACCATTGCGCTGGGCTCTCCATCTCTCTTGGTGGAAGCTGGTGTTCTGGCCTTCCTCCTGTGGATGGATTTCACAGGACTCTTCAGTTGCTTCCCAACTTCATTGCTGACATCCCACAGTAACACCTTCCCATCATTTCCTCCCGAAAGCAGCCAATATTCTTCTGGCAGAAAGAGGACCTGTGACACCCCCAAAGTGTGACCCTTAAACCCCAGCTCCTGTTCAAACTTGACACCTGTTACCCTGAAGATCCGGATTTTACCATCTTCACCTCCACAACCAAAGACGTTGCCACATGCTGCAACAGACAGAGAATGGGCTAGGGGAGGATTAAAGAACTGGCCAGCTGATTGCTGTTCCGCTCCTTCTGCTTCGTTCTCCTGCAGGGTCATGGTCCACAGTGGGCGAGCTTTCTGCAGGTTCCACAGCATAACCTTCAAATCAAACCATAAAAAATGACTTAGCACTATAGCTGCTGAAATAGCCTTCCTATGGTTAGTTGAGACTCGACCCTTGAGAAGGTGGAAGTGGTGAAGAAACCACTCTGAATTGCTTTCGGAGGCATCTGAGCCGCAGTAGCCATGACACACTGACAGTTTTAAGTATGTAACTGAAAAAGGAACACACCAGTGTAATAGGGAATGAGAACAGCATTGAGTCAGACACTTTCTCTGCCACCTTTGGTGACCCATTTTATTTCCTTATCTGTAAATGGGGAGAACGCCTACTTCATAGCAGGGGTTGATGACTTTTGTAGATAATGCTGAACATTAAACATTATATAAGAACTAACCAATTTTCATGATAACATACTAACAGTTCAGGGGAATCCAAGCCTCTGTGCTCTGGACCCCCAGGGCGTTTCAAGTTCCTGGAGCCTGAATGGAGTCCAGCCACTGCCCCAAATCTTTGAGTCCCTTGACCTTCAGGGCGCAGACCTTCTATCTGTCACCTCCTTCTAAGTGTTGGAACCTACTGTCCAGCTGCCTAACCCCTCTGGGTGCAGCACTGACCCTTCAGACCCCCTGATACTTAAACACACCCCTCTCCCAGAACTCGACCCAAAGTGTGAAGCTTCTGATTACATTTGAACTCTTCCAGGGGCAAAATTGTGAATGCTTAACACATACTGGTAGACAGGCTTTGCACTGATTCTAACACCATTGCTCTTTAACAGATAAAGCACAGGAGGCCACAGATCATACAAAACAAACATATGAAATGGCAAGATGCCTCACTTGCTATCTTGCCCTTTCCTTGGGGTACCTGGGTCCAGGAAGGCAGGGTGTTACAGGGTGAGTGCTCTCTCCCTCACAGACTACAGTAAATGGCTCCCAACCCCAGCTGAGCAGACCATCCTCTGCCCTTTTCAAAACTTCAGCCTCCCCCGTTAGGTAACACCCTTGCCAGGCAAACTGTAAAGTGACCTTGTTGCTGTGACTTCCCCCGCTAAGCAGCTCTTCTGGGCTAGGACCAGCCTTTTGTCTAGAGTGAATAGTTTTCCTGTTATTGGGTAGTCCTAAGTAGTCAACTGCTCTGTACTGTTGTTCTGCCCCCACCTTTGGAATTTTTAACCCAACATGGAAGCAAGTACACCATAGAGAAGTCAAAAGGCTGCATGTTCAAAATGGAGTTTGCAGCCTGACAGACACATAGGGATTGTAATTTTACACACAATCCATGAATTATACAGATATATTCTCAATTTATCACACCACAATATTTGCAACCATTCAGTGTAGCACTGCGCTAGTGCATGAGAAGTGAAACTGACTAGAAACAGGCCAGTCTAGTTTCACTAGCCTGGCTGAGTAAAATATAAAAACGAAATATCAATTTTAACAGGTAGTGGCCCTTTAACAGTAACCTCCTAAAATTTCCAAAACAGCACACAGGGATTTACCTGCATGGTTCCCATTATCAGTTAGGGGGAGAGGACCACAACTCAAATTCCATACTCACCTCACTGAATATTTGAGTTCACTTATTTGAAGAGACAATACAAGATGATTAGAACCGTTTCCTGTATTATCATAATCTGGTGAGAACACATCTCCAGATGATAAAATTTAGTAAGACTCTACCACCTGCAGAATCCCCATATTGCAATAAATATGCTTCCAAATGGAGCATTATTTGACTTCCAGTACTGCAAGTCAATTATGGATGAGTCACCCAACAGGGTTAGTGTGTGTGTTAGGTGGTAATTCAAACAAATGATGTTACTGAGCAACAGGAGCACAAGGAAGCTTCAGAAACTGTAAAACATCTATTTTCTTCCTCCACCCCACCCCCAGCATGTGAGGAAAAAGACACATAAAAGGACAAGACTCGGGCCAAAATTTTCAAACTTCATGTGTAAAGTAAGTGGCCTGATTTTCAAAAGTGCTGAGTGCCTGCACCTCCCATTAACTTCAATTGATTTTTGGGTACTCAGCACTTCTGAAAATTATTTCTCCAAGTACCTAAATATAGATTTATGAACTTTAGGCAACCAGGTTTCCAAATCTTAACCATTGTATAAAAAAGTCAGCCCTTACTGAATTACAGCTACATTATGAATTCTAAAATTGAGATTTATAATGAACACTATCACCTTAACTAGGACATGACAAATGTGACAGTGCTAGTGGGAATTAGTATATATGCAGCGGCACAATTATTTCAAATTTGGTGACAATATATACCTCCAGACCAGTGGCACCGCTATGGGCACCCGCATGGCCCCACAATATGCCAACATTTTTATGGCTGACCTGGAACAACGCTTCCTCAGCTCTCGTCCACTCACGCCCCTTCTCTACCTACGCTACATTGATGACATCTTCATCATCTGGACCCATGGGAAGGAGACTCTGGAAGAATTCCACCACGATTTCAACAGCTTCCACCCCACCATCAACCTCAGCCTGGACCAATCTACCCGGGAGGTCCACTTCCTAGACACCATGGTACAAATAAGTGACGGTCACATTAACACCACCCTATACCAAAAACCCACCAACCGCTATGCCTACCTTCATGCCTCCAGCTTCCATCCCAGACACACCACATGATCCATCGTCTACAGCCAAGCGCTGAGATATAACCGCATTTGCTCCAACCCCTCAGACAGAGACCAACACCTACAAGATCTTCACCAAGCATTCTCAAAACTACAATACCCGCACGAGGAAATAAGGAAACAAATCAACAGAGCCAGACGTGTACCCAGAAGCCTCCTGCTGCAAGACAAGTCCAAGAAAGAAACCAACTGAACTCCACTGGCCATCACCTACAGTCCTCAGCTAAAACCTCTCCAACGCATCATCAGTGATCTACAACCCATCCTGGACAACGATCCCTCGCTTTCACAGGCCTTGGGAGGCAGGCCAGTCCTCGCCCAAAGACAACCCACCAACCTTAAGCATATTCTCACCAGCAACCACACACCGCACCATAGTAACTCTAACTCAGGAACCAATCCATGCAACAAACCTCGATGCCAACTCTGCCCACATATTTACATCAGCGACACCATCACAGGACCTAACCAGATCAGCCACACCATCACCGGCTCATTCACTTGCACGTCCACCAATGTAATATACGCCATCATATGCCAGCAATGCCCCTCTGCTATGTACATCGGCCAAACTGGACAATCCCTATGTAAAAGGATAAATGGACACAAGTCAGATATTAGGAATGGCAATATACAAAAACCTGTAGGAGAACACTTCAACCTCCCTGGACACACAATAGCAGATTTAAAGGTAGCCATCCTGCAGCAAAAAAACTTCAGGACCAGACTCCAAAGAGAAACTGCTGAGCTTCAGTTCATTTGCAAATTTGACACCATCAGATCAGGATTAAACAAAGACTGTGAATGGCTAGCCAACTACAAAAGCAGTTTCTCCTCCCTTGGTGTTCACACCTCAACTGCTAGAAGAGGGCCTCATCCTTCCTGATTGAACTAATCTCATTATCTCTAGACTGATTCTTGCCTGCATATTTATACCTGCCTCCGGAAATTTCCACCAAATGCGTCTGACAAAGTGGGTATTCACCCACGAAAGCTTATCTTACGTACAAAAGTAGTCCTTTAACATCAAGGGCCTACTTGTATGAGTGAGTCTTTGCAGGACTACACCCTAATAAGCTATCAAAACCTGGGTATTGCAATGTTTGGAATGTTGTTTGCATTAAGTTTGTATCAGTCACCAGTGGATTATGCCTTCAAGAAAAAAAACAGACCCCGGCATCTCTATGCTCAAAGAATAACCTGAGTCATGTTTGACCATTAGAGGATAGTAAAGGGTACATTGTCAAAGTTAGGGTATACCCCCAAACTGACTTCCCCCTATCTTTTTGCAAAGTCCATGTGATTCAGTAACATTTAAATATTTTTCGTTAAAAAAAATCTAGTCCTAAATAGTAAACCTAAAATAAAAGCTGGAATTTGAAGTGAGGTAGAGGAAGGACAAATTAAAAAAAGTAATTGATTTCATTTAAGCTTTCAAGAGGTTATTAAAACAAAGGAATAACACATGAAATTTTAAACAAACCTTATCATTGTATGTACCAGTCATAAATGTGCTTTTAACTAATCTGTACTAAATGTCAGAACAGTAATATCAAAAGTTAGCACTTTTTGCAAACCACTCACAACGTTCTGTTTGCAATATTTAATTGGTCCCCTGGGAAAAGTCAGAATGCATAAAGAAAAACAATGATAGTTGATGTAGTGCAAGCTTTCTACAGCCACCTTGTCATGATTTATCCCCTTTCTCCACACCAGACAGAACCTCTGAGTCTTGGCTAATTTAGGCTTTGGGTGATTTGACCTGTGGTCTGTTTGCTGACGACAGACTGAAGTTCTCATCCACAACTATCCAAGGGCTGTCCCTCTCTGTCTTAGGCTAGTTGCTTCTTTTAGCTCTGCTGCCACTTCTCATACCACCCCCTTTGACAGAATACTTTAATTCACTGACATTCAGACCTCAGTGGTTCAGGAGCCAAATTAGTGATCAGTTATGACTCTTTTGGGTAACGTAGTGTGAATTCATTATTTCATTTACTATAGTACTATATATTCATATTTAAACAGCACGATGGGAAATATTTGGGGTTTTTTTATATATATAAATAATTATCACAGCAAAATGAGTGACCAAGTATTATTTTATCAACTAAAATTGGTTAATAACATAGTAAAAGCGCATCCTGATTGGTTAATAATGAAATCATAGTATTTTAATATGTGCTGAAAAAAGCCGCAGGGGCCGCATTAAAGAGCCACTTGCTGCTCGCGAGCCTCAGTCTGAGTATCACTGCTCTAATTCCTGCTTTCCCAACTCTTTTATAATAAAGGAAGGCAATAATAGAAACAATGTAACTGCTGTGCAGAAAACAGCATTATCGTCCTTAGGACACTGCTGGCTATTATGCTGGGGCCACATTAGGAGTGTTGGAGAGCCACATTAACTATCCTAGAATGGAAGAGAAGTACAGCAAATATCTAATTACTCATATCTGGTTGATATTTAAGTTCTCTAGCCATCATCCACCATCTACTATAAAAATCACCTTCATGTCCAGTCCACAAGACACAAGGCATTGAGGGCGCTGAGGTCGAAAGGCTACAGAGGAGCAGATGTTTGAATGCCTCCTCAAGGACCGGCTGACTTTCTTGTTTTCCAAGTTCATAATTTTTATTGCCCCAGAGTCATCTGCAGCAGCCAGGACACTATCTGTCTCATTCACTGACAGGCAATTGATCTCTTCCTCATTCAGATGAAAGCATTCAACTGGCCCCTTGAGGGATCTGACATCCAACATGCTAATGGTTTCACCATGGGAGGTGTATAGCCTGCTGGGGTAGGTGGGAGAGAACACAACACAGGTGACATCATCTGCCCTTGGAAGCTGTATCTGTCCTAAATGAATCCCTTCTTCATTCCAGATTGTGAGTTCTCCTCTCTCTGCTCCGGAAGCTACCAGCCCTTCTTTGTTTACATTCAAGCACAGTATAGAAGAGGAATGTCCACTAGTCCACTTGACTGCCATGATACTTCAAGGGAGTCTGTGAAGGAAAACAAATTGATGTTAGGGAAGGGTTTTTCCTACTACAGTAAAAAATTAAGAATGCAAGCATGCTTGGCTGACATAGTAACATGCAGTGGATGAGATGCTAGTGTCCCTAAGGTAAAACAGACACCTGTATAGGTAAGCACATTAACTGGGACTTGGGCTCAAACAGTATTGACATTTTGCATCATCCCCTTGCTGCTCTATTGTGAGAAGTGCTATGTCCGGTACATGAACTAAACTAAATCACCTTCTGCTAATCTTGAGTAGTTGTCTAGGTGGAAGTTACTTCAGCTGCAACCCCTGCAGCAGGGAGTGTCTTTTCATTATGTGCATACAGTGCTCATCACAATGGGGTCCCAGTCTCTGACTGGGGTATCTAGGTGCTATCACAACACATAAGTTAAACTTTCTATTGCACTTACTGAAAAGAGTAGGGGGAAAATTTCAGGGCTTGTCTATACTTTCAGAGCTGAAGCAGTGCAGCTGAACCACTGTAGCACTTAGTGAATATGCTACCTACGCTGACAGGAAAGTTTCTCCCATCTGTGTAGGTACTCCACCTCCCCGAGAGGCAGTGGCTATGTTGATGGGAGAAGCCCCCCCTGCCAACATAGCGCTGTCTACACTGGGGGTTAGGTCTGTTAACTGTCATTCAGGGGTGTGGTGTTATATTGACATAAGTTCCTAGTGTGACCAAGCCTTAATATCCTAGACAACAGTCCCTCTTCATAAAACAAATTCTTATGTTCCAAGCTGTGTGAAAAGCTACAATTTAGAGCATGACTACTTCCTCTGACTACACAGTCACTGAACTGCTTTGTAAATCACACCAATACCTAGAGTAAGAAAACTGCTGTGTAAGACAAAGTTCTTTTCTTCCTAAACAATAAGCTTATTTTGATAATGGTGGGGTTTGCATGAAGTAACATCATCATTGTAAACAGAACAATGAAAATAGTTTAACTATATACAGCACTACCCACATAAGCAGAAAGGAAACATACAAAGATATGGAAAAACTGAAATGAAAAGTAAAAAAGGACTCCACCAGGGGTGAAGGTAGAATGACGTAAATTGGTGGAGTTGGGAGGAACTGAGTTAATTGAGGGATGAAGTGAACAAGGTTTAAATATGAGATCAGAAGGGAGGAAGTAACCTGTGGTTCAGAGCATTTGAGAGAGAAAAGGTTGAGGAACTTTCTTTGGTGCTTTGACTCTTGCTATTGAATTTTCAGGTAAAAGAGACCAGCATCTAAAACTATAAAAATGTGATGTGCAAAAAACTGTGTTCAGCATTTTTCTAAAGTTGCTGGAAGCCCCAACAGAGGAGGAATTCAGCACTTGTGTACGCTAAAACTTTTTGCTTGTTTGACCCTACTGATGAGAATTAGGTCCTAAAGTATGGATCCCACCAGTCCCCAGCTTCTTGTGTGTGACACCACTGCCTGCAGTCTGCTGGTACACCTGTCCTGGAACCTCACTGCCAAATAATCCTCTCTATAGGGGCAAAGGAAGCCACTTTGAAAAAGTGTGTAGTTTCTTTAAAAAAAAAACACCTTTCTAGTATTGATAAACCCACACATTTTAAAAAAATGTAGGTCTGTAAAATATTTTACATTTTAGTATAATAGGATATAAAGAGAACTATAAAACCATGCTGAATTCCTTATACGTGGCATTTACTTTACTATGGGGTTGCAAGGTGGCACACACATGCATGTGACGCTGCTAGCAGAATGCTTTTACGGACAATTCACATTCCAGGAGCTGGAGATCTGTGGCTGGTCCAGACTTCTCAGGGCCTGAACTTTAGCTAATTTGAAATTTACTAATGTGCTTGATGACCATGTTTCCCCTTATTAGTTGGAGTCATCAGCAAATATGTCTAAGGCTCTGCTCCTACAATTGGATCCACCTAGAAGGACTCTGGCACCTATGAGAATCATATTGTAGGCTGGGGCCTAAAATTGTTGAGGCTTTTTAAACAGCTTTACATGTTATGGTTGAAACAACACAAATATATTAAATATTTCAGCAATTTGGCATTCCAATCCAAAGTGTGGTAAGAAGCATTGCCTCTATTTTAAACCAAACATGATTTGTTCAGATTTTGTGGTGGAGGCAAGGATCAATGCTGTTAAATATATTAATGGTTTTAAATTGTAAACTCTTGGCAGGAGGGATTTTTTAAAAATTGTACAGCACACAGCACATCTAACAAAGCTCCTTATGTGCATGCAGAGGTAGGAAATGGCTGTAGTTCAGGTTTACAGTTGAGGGTGGCAGCCATAGGTAAAGCCCCCTGGTGGGGAGGGATGAGCAAGAGGAAGGAGGGGCAGCTGTAGGCAAAGCTCTCCTCCTCCCCCCATGGGATGGGTGAGAGTGTGTTTGTGTGGAAGTGGCTGTAGACAAAAGCCTGTGGTGGTGACTGGGGATGGGGGGGTGTAGGAAAGGCCCAGGGGATAAGCAGGAAGAGGGGTGGCTGTATGAAAGGACCAGGCAGGTATGGCTGGACAGAAGATCAGGAAGGGGAGGGTGTTTGGGGGTGGCTGTAGGGATGGCTCGGGGTGAGAGAGAGGAGGACAGCATGGGGGAGGTTAGCAGGGGGATGGTAGGGAAGACCCAGGGGAAGGATTAGCGGGGGAGGGGAGGGGGACAGGGTGGCTAGAGAGAAGGCCTGGGCAGGGTGGCTGGAGGGAAGGCCCTGAGGGGAACAGGGGGAAGATGGCTCGGGGGAAGGCCCAAGCAGGGGTGGGATGAGTGGGGTGGCTGAAGGGAAGGTCCAGGTGAGGGGGAGAGGGTTGGAGATAAGGCCTGTGGGGCGGATGGGGAGGGATCGGGGTGGCTGGAGGGGATAGCTAGCAGGAAGGCCCATGTGGGGGAAGGGAAATAGCTATAGGGAAGGAGCGGACTAGGTGCTCATAGGGAAGGTCCGGGCAGGGGGCCTGAAGGGAAGGCCTGAGAGGGAGTGGGCGGCGGGCTGGAGGGAAGAGCAGGGGGTCGGGGGTGGCTGGAGGAAAGAGCAGGGAGGGATGAGCATGTGGGGCGGGGGTCTCGAGGGCCTGAGCGCAGGAGGGTGTCTGGAGGGAAGGCCCGGAGGGGAATGAACGAGGGGCGGGGTGTGTGCGGAGGGAAGGCCCGGGGGGGATGGGACTGGAGGAAAGGCCCCGGGGATAGGCAGCTCCCACCGCGCCGCTCGCTCTCGTCCGTGCTGTGGGGTGAGGGGAGGGCGCGTTACCTCTGACCACACCAAGCACCCAGCTTCCCCGCGTGACCCGCCTGTTCCGGCGCAGCAGAATTACATCATCTCAAAGTACTTCCGTGCGTCCTCTGCGGCCAAGCTACCGTACGCTGCGGCGCATGCGCTTCCGAGATCCTATGCCAGCTCTACCCGTAACCATCATGGCGCTCCTGCTGTCAACCTCTCCTCGTACAAAGTAGTAGTGACAGCTGCTGTGGAGAATGCGGGGTGGATGGTCTGGGCGTCGCTCGCGGCTATGTTCCCGGGGTAAACTGCGGCACTCTGGACTCTCAGCTGTGCCCCTCCTGCCCAACCGCAGAGCTCACTTCCGCCCGCACTTGTCCCCAGTCGGGGGAGGGCAAACAGCTCGCACCGCCCCCCACTGTACTGCCGGTTCCCGCGAGACTGGCTAGTGCGGCTGGCGCCGCCTCAGGGGCTGGTACAGCGCCTCGCGCCGCCGCGGGGTCTCGCGGGGGGAGGTGGTTGTTGCCGGCCGGCAGGAGGGGCGAGCGGCCGGTGCGCGCCGCCTGAGGCGATGGCGGCGGGCGGAGGCGGGGGTGCGGTGGGGGGCGCGGGCTGGCGGCTGCCCGGGCGGGTGCTGGAGCTGGTGTTCTCCTACCTGGAGCTGCGGGAGCTGCGCAGCTGCGCGCTGGTCTGCCGGCTGTGGCACCACGTCCTGCACGGCGACGAGAACAGCGAGGTGTGGCGCAGCCTGGCCGCCCGCAGCCTGGCCGAGGAGGCGCTGCGCACTGACATCCTCTGCAACGTGCCCACCTACAGGGGCAAGGTGAGCGGGGCCTCGCCACAGGCTCCGGGCTGCCGAACCGGCGCCGCGGGGGGCAGGGCTGGCGGCCTCTGCTGCGCCGCCGGGATCACGGCAGGGCCAGGGTACCCCGCGCGGCGATAGCGACTGTGCAGGGCTGAGCGGCACCGGCCGGCGCTGTCCGCGCACCCGGGCATTGCAGGGAGGGACCCTCCTGTCGCAGCCGCCGTCCTCGCCCCAGCGCTGCCAGAGCCGTTATCTACTCCCTGAAATGACCCTTCTCTACCTTCGCCTTGACAATGGGACTGGCCTATGGAGAGCAGGTTTTCCCTGGCTGCGCCTCCCCACACCCACTGCCATGTTTTCCATCCCCCTGTTGGAGAATGGCAAGTAGATCTGGTATTGCTGAATTGTCATCTTCTTGCAAGGAAGGCTTGTCTTAAGCTGCCGCCATTGGTCCTGCCAGCTGTTCAAAGCAAGTCTGGTCAACTGTGCTTAAAATACTCTGCACAGCCAGCAGGCTGTCTTCATTGCTGTGGCCTGGGAAGCTGAAATCGGGTTGGCTAAATATTTTTATTTATATTTCCCTAATATAGACTAGGCTTTTAATTGCTTGTTTTACAGGTGCCCTCCACTTCCTACCATTCCCCTCAGTCCTCTCTATTGCTCTCTGTCGGGGGCTCAGGTACTCTGGTTCGCTACTCTCTGGAGTCTTCAACCAGTAAACCCCCTATCCTGCGCATAGGTGCTGACTCTGTGGGTGCTCTGGGGCTGGAGCACCGACGAGAAAAAAATAGTGGGTGCTCAGCACTCACTGACAGCCCCATGGATTAGCTCCCTCCCCTCCCCCACAGCCCTCCTGCCTGCCACAATCAGTTGTTCAGTGGTGTGCAGGAGGCACTGGTGGGGAGGGAGAGGAGCAGGAAGAAGTGGGGGGAGGGCAGGAAGGGTCGGAGGTGGGAGCTTGGGGGAAGGGGGTGAAGTGGAGGTGGGGCCTAGGGGGGTAGAGCAGGCGGGGGGTCGAGCACCCCTCGGGAACTCAGGAACTTGGCACCTCTGATCCTGCGTGCTTTTGTGTCTCTTCTACACTGTGGTTTTTTTTTAAAAGTTCGAAATTTGTTGGGAATGGGGTGTAAGATGTTAATGAATTAATTCATTTTATTATTATTCTCTCCACTCAAAAATCCCATCTCTCTTTCTGTGGTTTTAGGTACGGGCCTTTCAACATGCTTTCAGTACCAATGACTGCTCCAGGAATGTGTACATCAAGAAAAATGGATTTACATTGCACCGGAACCCCATTGCTCAGAGCACAGATGGGGCAAGGACCAAGATTGGTTTCAGCGAGGGTCGTCATGCTTGGGAAGTTTGGTGGGAGGGGCCTCTTGGCACAGTGGCAGTAATTGGAATTGCCACAAAACGGGCTCCCATGCAGTGTCAGGGCTATGTAGCACTGCTGGGCAGTGATGACCAGAGTTGGGGATGGAATCTGGTGGACAATAATTTGCTACATAATGGAGAAGTAAATGGCAGTTTCCCACAGTGCAATAATGCACCAAAATACCAGGTGAGTGAGACTAAGCACCAGCTAGAGAGGCTCTACACATCTGTGAACAGCTGTCCTTCAAGAATTGTCAGGCAAGAAAAAGACTTAATTGCCTAATAAGCCTTAACACTGTTCTTTAATATGTCCCTTTTCTATTATAAAAACGTCTGTCTCCTAAACTGGTCTGACATGGCAATGTATACAATATGTTTACCTTTTGAGGGGAAAAATTTACCTTACTATCTTTTTTCTAATTTACTGGTTTATTTTAGATTACATCCCTGTATGGTGTACAGATTCTGGATCCTATGTTGTCTCCTCCAGTTAGAATGAAATTAATCTTGTACCTTTCTTTTTTCTCAAATCTTATCTGATATTATCCTGCATTCATACAGTTCATTGAAAGGCAGCAACCTCTTTTGTTAAAAAACAAACAAACAAAAAAAGGTACTAGAGCATTCTAAATGTTTTAACCAGGGATTTGTTCACCAATAACAGAGCTGTGTTTGATAAGCATTATGTCTTTTTGGCGCATCCCAGCGTTAAGTGTGCTGAGTCTAGCCGGTAATTGGATAGGAATTCTCCAAGGAAGTCCTGGGTGATGCAAAAGTGATGTTTATTCAATAACTGATATTCTTCGAGGTGACATCTTTTGGATAAGACATAACATTGATGTTCAGATAACTTGCCATAATTAAAGAATGTGTGGCACTTTTTTTTTTTCCAAAATAGTGGTATTTAGCTGTGGCCAAATTCCACTTTTGGATAACTACATTCTGCTTACTAGATTTTCTGACAGTGCAGCTTCAATTGAATACACTATACTTCCTGACTTACACTGTTATGTAGTGTTGTTGTGTGATGTTCCACTTCAGATGTGGCTGCATTTTAGTGGGTGAACATTGTTTAATGTATATTTATATATAATATTCCTAAGTCCCCACTCTAAGTAAAGTTAGCTGTCTGAGTGGTATAGCAAACATGATCTGTGTAATGGCACTTAAATTTAAAAAATTGCACTTTTCTCTGAAACATGTATCTATGATTTTTTATGAGTAAAACATAATATTACTGTAATTTAAAAATCAGAGAGACTATTTTTTCTGTAGTTAATTTTGTGCCTTTGATAGCACTATGTATAGTCACTCTGCCTATTTACTTTGTGTGCTCAGTTTCCTTTGTTTGGGTCTTTCACACCCTAACAGGAAAGGAGGGTGGGGAAGAACTTAAAACTATAGCAATGGTCATGGAGACTCAAGGATATGGTGTAGACAAAACTGCTTTGATCTTAGTTTTTAAATTGACTTGATTTCAAGTTGATGTCTCTTTAAAGTATGCTTGAATTAAGTAAAGCATGTGAGATGATCTTTCTTTTCATAAAATAAAGACTAAAAAGTATACATTCTTATGTGCCCTCTTATAAGTTAGAGGTTAAAAGAGACTACATTTGAGGGTGGCTTGACTCTTCCACAACATAGAAGCTTGTGTAATACCATGTTACTGCTTGCTGTTGGGAGCTGTGTACTTATTTAAATTTCAAATCATGCTCTAGGTAAATGAACTGACATGCAATATCATGTTTATATGCTGATCTGTGATTCTCCTGGTGCATTCAATGTTTATTATTCTCATATATCTTTTTTTTTTCTTTTGGCAAAAACAAATGGGAAAAATCTACACATAGTTTTGAAATGTCCTGCTCTATCGGTAAATAAGAGTGTAATGCTAATATTCAGAGTGCATGCTTGGCCAAAGAAGTGATTTAGTTCACCTGGCATACAGCACCTACTTTCTTAAAACCAGTTCTGTGGCTTTAAAATCTCTCTGCAAAGGCTTTACCTATTTAGCATAATAAAAGCTATATTCAGAGTCATGGGAAATTCAGGGTGGAGGCATTACAAAATAGCCACATACTGCAGAACACTGAAGTAGATGTAATGCAGTATATTAATTCTTATTGCCAGATCAGTCACATGAGAAGGGTCACATTTGGGGTATTTAGCCTTGTGATTGTTAACTTGAAATTTTCTCTACAGCTATACAGAATCTTGTGAGCATCAGTGAAACTGACACTCCCACAGAAAAATTAATTCATTTTTATTGAGAAACAGAAAAATGCCCTTCTCTTAAGGTCTCCTGTTCTACTGTCTATGTGGTATATTTGTTTTATTTCCCTTTTAATTGGTCTCCCTTTGAATATTGCCTGACTCTTCTTCCTATCTCCATTTGCAGATAGGTGAGAGGATTCGAGTCATCTTGGACATGGAAGACAAGACATTAGCCTTTGAGCGGGGCTATGAGTTCTTGGGAGTTGCATTCAGAGGATTGCCAAAGGCCTGCCTATATCCAGCAGTGTCTGCTGTGTATGGCAACACAGAGGTGACTTTGGTCTACCTGGGAAAACCTCTAGATGGATAACATTGATTGTTTCATTGGGACATCAAGATGTGGAAGATCTGGAGAAGAAATCTGCACGTTGGTTAGAGGGAAAGATGAACTTGAAATAAAGTGTGGGTGTGTGTGCAAGAAACATCCGGGAAAACAAAGAATTGTGATCTGGAGAACCAGCCATACTGCAGGAATTGTTACATTTCCTTTTTCTATCAAACCAGAAAAATCCTCAGGGTTGGAGTTGGTTGAGTGGGCAGTTCACACATGCATGTTGCAACATATTTCGTTGCTAAGATGGCTGTGTGTGACCTCAAATACGTAAGGAAAGATTTGATAGACGTGCTTGAGGAAATTAACCTGCGAATTTGTAGGTAGCGTGTTTTGTGAAAGACTCCCATTTTAAAACTGTTCCTTCTGGGCCAGTGTGGCTACCAGAGGGGAGAGAGTCTGGTTGGGTTTTATT